TTTGGCAGCAACGTTATCTGTTTTCCTGCTTTATCTTCACTGTTACTGCTAATATGTACAACATTTATCACATTGTCATTATTAAAAGGTTTCATCGGTCTATTAGTGAATTTAATAATATTTTGTTATTTTAATATGAATTTGTTTTGAAGTATATACTTTTTTTTATATATTCATCTTGTACTTTCGTCTTTATTTTATCACGAAAACTCTTAATTTCGTCCCTGATATATTCAACAGTATCAGCTTTACTAGTTTTCAAATAGCTATGAGATAGATTTTTTTCATTTGATGGTTATATGTAAAGAATCAATGTTACCAATACAATCGTGCTTATAATGGCAAATCAATATCTTAAAATATTTCATTGCAGATGCTTCACCTTATTATATTTTTCAAAGCATCACCATCACCTCTGTTAACAATTTGAGTTAATGTTTCATATAAACCATCCACTCTTCATTCTGTGTGAATAGATCTTTATTTTCTTTTAAATTAAAGTATCTTTTTAGCCCTTCTTTTACGGTTTTGTTCCAATCTTGATCGTAATAACTGAAAAATCAAACAAATTTTATCTTTGAGCACTTATGGAACATCTCAATTTTTGTGTAGCAGAAAATATCGGCCATATTTCGATCTCTTACCGGTGCTTCATTCTTTACGAAATACAACTATTTCCAAAGGATTAACAAGTAGTTGCTATAAGTTGCTAGAACAGAACGGACATCTGGATACTACATATGACGAGAAAAGGCAGATTGAATTAATTAATTTCATTACTTAGTTGTAACTTACCAAGAGACTGCTAAGAAATATCATTGCGTTAAGGGTACATGAAATCGACTTTTGTTAATGTCTTTTTAAGTGTTACAAACGACAAGGTCATTCCGTGCTTATACGAGTAATACTCGCCGAGTATTCATTTCCCACCTGCCCATAGGAATTACATACGTGTACACTGCATGTAAGTAGCTCTATTGTAATATTAGTCGCTAGTCAAAAAACATTGTATAGTAAATACTCATTGGTATGATTACAATTGAATGGATTAAAGATGTAACAAGCTTGTTTTCAAAAAATAAAATTTATTATCTACTTGTTACATGTATAAAATTTGATATTTTTTATGTATCCTGGTTTGTATGAATAAATAAATAAAAAATTCCATAAAAATATGGACCACAATTCGAGGCTAATGCTTACACTTTCTTACAACAAGCTTGATGCTTTTGAATTCGACACGGATGGAACCTTCTCTTGCATTTATTGCACGCGACAAGTTGAGCCTGGTACTCTTCCCAATTGACCTCAGCTTGATTGAACTCTGTGAAAAAATTATAAGCGCTATTACACGAATGACCTAAATTAAAGTTAAAAGTAATTTACCTTTGGGAATTGGAAGTTCCTCGTCTTGATTGACAACGAGCACTGGAAATGGTACTGGAGAGATACTGTGGGATTCCACATTATGTTTGCAATCGGTGTTCGTAGGTGTTCTTTGTAATTCATACTTGGGTTTCATAGGGTCAAAATTGTCCTAAAGTAATAAGTACATATTAGCGTATTAGTACATTAGTATAATGATACACATCAACATTGTGTTTTGTAGTGTAATTATATAAATACTATACATTACTTCAAGTATTTCACTTTTGCTATGGTTCTGTTGTTCTTGATCAATCGACTTTGACAATTGCCGCAACACTTCTTTATCATCTGTTTTGGAAACTGCTTTGTAATCTTTAACAGGTAAAAATCTTTCTATTATATATAAACTATTCATATACAATCAATTGAATTGCTTACCATTTTCTTGTGTTTCGTATCCACAGCTTACATTTTTATTGCTGTCAATACATCTCAAAGATAACATATCATCTTTTATATGTTGGATATAATCATTTGTGTTCTTCTCTACATAATTCATTTTATCATTGATTATATCTTTTATTTCACTGGATTTGCATCTTGTTAAAGTTTCTTTCTCTGTTTCCATTTCCTTCTTTTTTCTTTTTTCTTCATTAGAGTAAGATCTCAACTTTCTTATGTGATTACTAGGCACCTCATTCTTTTGTCTGTTTTTCTTTTCAGTAACAAAATTCTTTGAATTCTTCTGCTCAGTTTTATGTTTTGCTGATTTCTTCTCATCTCTTGTTTCCTCAATTTGTTCTGGCGTCTCTTCTTCTTCGCCATTTTTGAATAACTTATACTTTCTTGAGGAAAATTGCAAGGGTGAAAGCTTATAGTGTTTTAGACTAGGGGTTGAAGTATTGTCTGGACTAAAGAGACCTTTGTAAGGAGCAATCAAATTTTTGTTCTTTATCTGTTTAATTTCTACTTGGTCATTTCTTACTTCAATGTTCTCTAAATTTTCTTCCTTTTCCTCTACATTCTTCTAAAAAGTAGTGAAATAGTAATAATAACGTAAATAATAAAAATAGCAATAACGAAAGAATATTTACCTGATTCTTACAAACAGAGTTGCCACATTTGCATAGTTCACTGCATGAGACGTTCTTTCTAAAGCAACCACAGCGTTTGGTAGCACACTTGCTTTTACATTGACATCCACGCACAGAAATTGATGATTCTCCAACACTATTCTTACTCAGACGACCGTTTTCAATGGTGAGAAGCTTCACTTGTTCCTCAAGACGTGCTATCTCCAACATTGTATCGTGTGTTTGTGTTGCTACATTTCTCTTTTCACTGAAAGCAATATAAAATCCAAAGAAGGACCGACGAATAACGCGAGTATAATGTACAAATAAAGATTATGAAATTAATAAATTACGCACCTTTTGGTTTTTGTGTGTGACATTTTAATTCCACTGACTTCTGCTATCTTCTGGCGGTTGACGGTTTACGTTTAAATTCAGAATCGCAGAGGAGGGGGAGAGCAGTCGGGATTGGGAGCACTGTTTGACTCAGTTTTGACTGATCTGACCTCATTATGATGTTCCTTTTCTGTCGGTTATTGTTCTCGAAATGGAAAGTGAAATCTCGAGATTTGATTCGAAACATTTGATAGTCGATTTCTCTACGATAATTGGAAAAGAGAGACTAATATTTTTAAAAGTTTGGACAATTTTACGATGTACATTATTACCAAACAGAGCAACTGTGGCGCCACAAACGAAAACAAAGATAAGTCAATGAATGGATAATATAACAAATTAGTAATTTACAATCATTATGCGGTATGTACTTCGAAACATATAATGAAAGTGTTATTAACATGTGATAAACACTTCAGAAGGGGATTCTGCGAACTGAAATAAAATTTCAGCCTCGTTCTTAAATCATTATCACTATATTATATCTGCATGTAAAATCATCGTTTAAAATTTCCTGCGGTAATTGGTAGTATATATTTAGATTTTAGATTTTCATCTCAAGACCTGATTAGCTGTTATAGTTCTTTGCTTTGTTTATACATATATACATATATTCGCTATTTGTGAAAATTTTAAAAAATGTTTCAAGTAAATTTCACAGAAAATTAAATTCTGCACAAGAAAAGTGAATGCATTCTTTTTATATTTTCTCTAATAAAAAAATTAACAAGAAACTTAAATGGCTTAATAAATTTTAATAAATATTAATAACAAATATTAGTTTTATTTAATATAAAAATGAACTTTAATTAACATAGATACATAAACAATATTTTTTATTTTTCCTACAGATAAACATCGCGGAAGCATTCAAGCTGAGATAAGAAATCATCAAATCTTACGTACACTGAATATATACGATCAACTACAACACAGGTGCATGGGGGCAACCAAAGACGATGACAATGAAGAGTTAACAGTCTATGAAATTGTGTCTTGTACGAATTAATGAAAGTCTATTTTATTTGTAATATATTTCATTAAATTAATGCAGAACAGAAACTATGACTAATTGTTGTGCTCGAAACTGTAATAATACAACTAAGAAGGATTATATTATGAAAATCTTTTCACGCGATCCCAAACGCAGAGCACAATTGGCTGCAAATGTAAGGCGAAAAGATTGGTTCCTATATTTGCGAAGTTTGCTTTTGTAGCTTGTAATTTTATAACAGTTTAAATTATTTAAATTAAACTGGAACATTCTGAATTTTTGTTATAACTTCTTAATAAAGCTCTATATGACCTATGTTTACATAACATCTTTTTCTTACTTTGTGCCATAGAATATACTGACAAAG